AAGCAACCCTCAACAAAATCCAAAACACTGGGATAATACAAAGTTATCTTCTCTGATCACAATGCCATCCAAGTAGAAATTAACAACAGGAAAAGCAAGGAAAAAACATCAATTACATGAAAACTAAATAACACCCTGCTTAAAAACCACTGGGTCATAGAAGAAATCAAAGATAGAATCAAAAAATTCGTGGAATCAAATGAGATTGAAAACACATCATACCAAAACCTTTGGGACACAGCAAAGGCAGTCCTCAGAGGTCAATTTATAGCAATAGATGCACATCAAAAAAGAAGAAAGGGACAAAATCAAAACATTAGCTATACAACTCAAACAAGAAGAAGGAGAACAACAAAAGAAGACTACAGCCACCAGAAGAAAGGAAATAATAAAGATCAGAGCAGAAATAAATGAAATAGAGAATAGAAAAACAATAGAAAAAATCAACAAAACCAAAAGTTGGTTCTTTGAAAGAATCAACAAAATCAACAAACCACTAGCCAAACTGACAAAAGAAAAACAGGAGAGGATGCAAATAACCCAATAAGGAATGAAATGGGGGACGTTACAACAGACCCAACTGAAATAGAAAGGATCATTAAAGAGTATTATGAAAAACTATAGTCCAACAAATTTGAAAATCTAGAGGAAATGGACAAATTTCTAGAAACACACTACCTACCCAAACTACAACAAAGTAATGTTGAAAATATGAACAGACCCATAACAAGAGAAGAGATTGAAAAGATAGTAAAAAAACTCACAACAACAACAACAACAAAAAAAAAAAGCCCTGGCCCAGATGGCTTCACTGGAGAATTCTACCAAATATTCAGAGAATAGCTTACACCAGTACTACTCAAATTATTTCAGAACACAGAAGAGGAAGCGATACTTCCAAATTCATTCTATGAAGCCAGCATAACCGATACCAAAACCAGGCAAAGACGCCATAAAAAGAGAAAATTACAGATCAATATCTCTCATGAATATAGATGCAAAAATTCTTAACAAAATTCTAGCCAGTAGAGTTTGGCATCATATCAAAAAAATAATACACCATAACCGAGTAGGATTCATAGCAGGTATGCAAGGATGGTTCAACATTAGAAAATCAATCAACATAATCCACCACATAAATAAAAGAATCACATGATCATCTCAATCGATGTGACAAAGTCCAACACCCATTCCTGATAAAAACTCTCAATAAAATAGGTATAGACGGAAAATTCTAAACATAATAAAGGGCATCTATACAAAACAACCAACATCATTCTTAACAGAGAGAGGCTTAAAACATTCTGTTTGAGAACAGGAACAAGACAAGGATGCCCTTTATCACCACTCCTATTTAACATTGTGCTGAAAGTCCTAGCTACAGCAATAAGCAAGAAAAAGAAATAAAGAGCATCCAAATTGGTAATGAAGAAGTAAAACTGTCCCTATTTGCAGATGATATGATACTATACATAGAACACCCAAAAGACTCCACGAGAAAACTACTGGAACTAATAGAAAGATTCAGCAGAGTAATAGGATACAAGATAAACATACAAAAATCAGTTGGATTCCTACACACCAATAAAGAGAACGATGAAAAGGAAATCAGGAAAACAATACCATTTATAATGGCCCCTAAAAAATAAAATACTTAGGAATAAATCTAACCAGGGATGTAAAAGACCTGTACACAGAAAACTACAAAACACTACTGCAAGAAACCAGAAGATATCTACATAAATGGAAACACATACCATGCTCATGGATAGGAAGACTCAACATTGTGAAAATGACAATTCTACCCAAAGCAATTTACAAATACAATGCAATCCCGATCCAAATACCAATGACATTCCTTAAAGAGATGGAAAAAACAATCATTAACTTTAGATGGAAAGGAAAGAAGCCCCAAATAAGTAAAGCACTACTGAAGAAGAAGAATAAAGTTGGAGGACTCGCACTACGTGACCTCAGAACCTACTATACAGCTACAGTAGTCAAAACAGCCTGATACTGGTATAACAACAGATACGTTGACCAATGAAACATAATTGAGAACCCAGATGTAAATCTATCCACCTACGGTCACCTGATATTCAAAAAGGGCCCAAAGTCCATCAAATGGGGAAAAGACAGTCCTTTTAACAAACGATGCTTACAAAACTGGATGTCCATCTGCAAAAAAATGAATCAGGACCCATACCTCACACCACACACAAAAACTAATTCAAAATGGATCAAAGACCTAAATATAAAACCAAAAACTATAAAGATCATAGAAGAAAAAACAGGATCAACGCTAGAGATCCTAATATATGGCATTAACACATTACAAACCATAACTAACAACATACAAACTCCAGAAGATAAGCTAGATAATTGAGATTTTCTAAAAATTAAACATTTATGCTCATCAAAAGACTTCACCAAAAGAGTAAAAAGAGAACTACAGACTGGGAAAAAAGTTTTGGACATTACAAGTCAGACAAAGGTCTAATCTCTAAAATCTACAGGAAAATCCAACACCTCTACAACAAAAAGACAAATAATCCAATTAAAAAAATGGGCAAAGGAAATGAACAGATACTTCACCAAAGAAGACATTCAAGCGGCTAAAGACACATGAGGAAATGCTCACGATCTCTAGCCATTAGAGAAATGCAAATCAAAACCATAATGAGACACCATCTCACCCCGGTATTACTGGCACAAATCAGAAAAACAGAAAATATCAAATGTTGGAAAGGCTGCGAGGAGATTGGAACTCTTATGCACTGCTGGTGGGAATGCAAAATGGTACAACCATTTTGGAAAACGATATGGCGCTTCCTTAGAAAGCTAGAAACAGAAATACCATATGATCCAGCAATTCCACTCCTAGGAATATATCCTAGAGAAATAACAGCTGTCACAGGAATAGACATAATGCACACCCATTTTCATTGCAGCATTGTTTACAATAGCAAAACGATGGAAACAAACTAGATGCCCATCAACAGTTGAATGGATAAACAAACTATGGCACACACACTGTGGAATACTACGCAACAATAAAGAACAATGATAAATCTGCAAAGCATCTCACGACATGGATGAATCTGGAGGGCATTATGCTGCATGAAATAAGTCGATCACAAAAGGACAAATATCGTATGAGACCACTACTATAAAAACTCATGAAAAGGTTTACACACAAAAAGAAACACTCTTTGATGGTTACGAGGGAGAGGAGGGGGTGGGGGTAAAAAAACACTAAATAGACAATAGATAAGTGGTAACTTTGGTGAAGGGTAAGACAGTAGACAATACTGGGGAAGCCAGCACAACTTGTACAAGGCAAGGTCACAAAAGCTCCATGGACAAATCCAAACTCCTGAGGGACCGAATTACTGGGCTGAGGGCTGTGGGGACCATGGTCTCAGGGAACATCTAGCTCAACTGGCATAACACAGTTTATAAAGAAAATGTTCTACATTCTACTTTGGTAAGTAGCATCTGGGGTCTTAAAAGCCTGTAAGCAGCCATCTAAGATACTCCACTGGTCTCACCCCTTCAGGAGCAAGGGAAAATGAAGAGAACTAAAGACACAAGGGAAAGATTAGTCCCAAGGACTAATGGACCACAGCTACCACAGCCTCCACCAGACTGAGTCCAGTACAGCTAGATGGTGTCTGGCTACCACCACTGACTGCTCTGACCAGGATCACAGTAGAGGGTCCTGGACAGAGCTGGAGAAAAATGTAGAACAAAATCCTAACTCACAAAAGAAGACCAGACTTACTGGCCTGAGAGAGACTGGAGAAACCCCAAGAGTATGGCCCCCAGACAGCCTTTTAGCTCAGTAATGAAGTCACTCCAGAGGTTCACCTTGTAGCCAAAGATTAGACAGCCCCATAGGACAAAACAAGACTAAAAGGGCACATCAGCCAAGGGACAAGGACTGGAAGGCAGGAGGGGACAGGAAAGCTGGTAACAGGGAACCCAAGGTTGAGAAGGGAGATTACTGACATGTCATGGGGTTGTTATCCAATGTCATAAAACAATATATGTACTGTTTAATGAGAAGCTAGTTTGTTCTATAAGCCTTCATCTAAAGTACAAAAAAAAACCCCAAAAGACAAACAAACAAACAAAACCTTCTGAATGGTGGGAGGTGATAAGAAAGGGTTCAGACTGGCAGAACTATAAGGAACAGACAGATGCAATCGTTCTGCTAATCGTATCAGGAAATTAGCTTGACCTTTCTGTATTCAGTATTCCTATCACTATTACATCTTTTGCTGCTTAATTCAACTGTGGCTAAAGGTCACAAAGGAAAATACATCCTGCAAATGTTTAGCTCCTATTTTCTGTATTGCTCCCATTCAGATATATCCTCTCAATCCTACATCATTCTTTTGAATGAAATAAGATGACAGTGTTATTTGATACGCATATGTAATCTTTCGTAGCTATTACCTGATATAAAATTTCTAAACGCAGAACAGAAAAGTCATCTGTTCTACTTTCTGTAAAATAAGCAGAGCGTGTATTCGAATCCCACAGAGTCATATTCTAAATGTGAACTTATCTTCCTTCCCTCTACATATATGTTACGTGGACAGTCACCAACAGTTAGTGCTCTCAATTGGAAGCCACGTGTATCTGAAAAGCGCCAAGATGTCAGCTCCTATCACTGGATACTCAGAGGGTTTAATATAAAAAAGAAAACAGAACCATAAACCAATGAAGCAAGAATGAGTTTGTTTCCTCATCGGAGCTGGAACTGGCGCTCCATTAACATGGGAGCCAGGCACTCAGGGGATGAAGTTCACGATCACGTTCTGGACTTCCCAAAAGAATGCTGGAAGAACAGCACAGCCCCTTCCGCAGCTGAATTTGTGATTTCATCTCTTTGCTCATCATGCAGATCTTTTTTTTTTTTAAAAGAAACACAAGTCTAAGCTCCGCCCCCCACCCCCAGTAGAATCTGTTTTCAATCCTTGCATCTCTGTTACCTTTCTTTAATTGACATGGTTTTGCTGGGTGAGTCAAGGATGCCCTCTACCATTGGTGCTTTGATCTCTCCGGCAGCAAACATGGCACATGGATTCTTATAGAGCTTCTCCTGTGCTTGTTCTCCAGAGTCTGGCTGCTTACAGGACATCGGGGTTGCGGCTGGAGCAGCGGCCTTCCCAGCCACTGTGTCCGTCTGCTCACAAGTGGGCTCCCCGAGCTCCGCTGCTGGGCAGGAAAGCAGCGGCATCAGCACTTACTCCTCCAGCAAACATTCTTCCAGCCATTAACCCCCTCACAGCCAAGCACTTGGAGTTCATTCCATGGACACGTGACAGGTTACCCGATCCATTGGGACTGAGGCAAATCTAGAGTACTGCGAGAAAGCCAAACTTCCTGTGGGTTACTCCCCATAGCAAATCCCATCACGGCAACTAGTCTCTTCCCTGTGTAAGACAGAGGAAGTGAGCATTCACCGTAAACTCTGGAATGTTTCTACTCCCTCAAAACAAGACTTGCACGTTTCAAATGCACTGTACTCACACACCAAAACCCTTATCCTAACTTAGGCAGCATCATTTTACAGCAATTAGAAACAAGATGAAAGTCCCATGCAGTAGAGCTTGTTAGTCTTCTAAAAAAAAAAAAAAAGGGACGGTGGAGATAGGGATAAAGAGTCTAGAAACCCGAAACACAGGTCTGAGTCCTTATTCCCCACGCTTACCCAAGCCCTGGACCTTTTGGGTCATCAACTTATAAGAGGCCAACAGAAGTGGCGGCTTCCAGGCTGTTACGTGAGTGAACACAATCAAAACACTTATCAAGATGTAGAAAGAGCTTCAGGTATTTTTACTGCTGAAAAAATGGATTCACCCACTGGAAAAGTCAAATGAAAGGGGCAGAGAAGGCTGGAGGAGCATTTGATTCACACGGGACTTTTAAATCAGTAATGGCTGTAAACGGCCTTTGCAACTGAGCTGGCAACAATCAGCAACACACACAACAAAGCAAGCAGAAACTGGAAACCTAAACCTTGAAGCGCGGCTGTGACTGACTTTACCTCTCAGAGAAAACTCGCTTCTCCTGACATCCTCCATCTCTACCTTCTCTTCAAAGGGCCGCCTGTCTTCCAAGTCCTGGTCCCCGGGTGCAGAGCTTTCAGCAGTGGAAAATTCCTTCAGCTCATCACAAAGATGGGCTATGGAAGGACTCGCTAGCTCCATGCTTCCTTTTCTTGGGATGGCGTATTTAGGTTCTTTAAGGCTGTCTCCTCCCCTGACTCTACTAAGAACAGGGTAGGATGGTTCTGCTTCCTCAAAAGATTCATACTTTCTAGCCCAACTGTACCCGCTGCTCAAGACTTGCTTGCTTTCTGCCTCTCCAAATACTTTCAGGGTTCCTTTGTTCCCGCCATCCTCTACTGGAGGCTGCCATGCTTGTGATTTCAGAATGCTTCGAACCGGAGAGTCTGAGTTATCTATCGAAGAAGGCAACTTGTAGTCAATGGCACTTGTATGGTCATCAATAGATGGCTTTGCCCGAAGATCGCCCACATACATGGGTGTGACAGTGGGTGCCACGGTGGATACAGACGTGTTAACGGTAGGTGCGAAAGGAACGAGCTTTCCGTTTTGAACCTGGGGAAACACAGGTAAGAAGTACAAAGACGATTTAAGAAGATTGGCTACCTCATCCTGGTTTACAGATGGGCAGACCGAGGCCCTGCACTTGGTACAGTTTCACTGCTTATCTTCATGGGAAACCCTCACTGACACAGTTATATAATGCATCTCATTAAAAAAAATCTAGTGCGTGAAAAGCAAGTTGGGCATACTGTTGTCTGAAACGGACTCACTCCAGATAATAATTTCAGCAAGCAAATTTATGAAAACCAGAACAGAGAAACATACTGGGCGTGATGATCTTTTGTAGGAATTAAGTTATCATCAAATCCCCCACCGGTAACACTGTTTACAGGTAGATCGCCTTAATTCTGCCGCAAACCTAGGAATGACACCCTGCTCTTGTATGTGAAGAACACACGAAAACTGGAATCAGATGACAGCGTACCCACCTGTTCCACCTCTCCAAGTGTGACCGGCTGTGTTTGATAGCGAGCATTCGTTCTCCTCTGTCTCGTGTCTATTCTGTTCCGGGTAGAAATAGCTTTTGACACAGGCTGGGACAGCTTGTTAAACAAGGCCAACTTCTCCGCCAGGCTGAGAGTGGAAGAATCGGGTTCACCTTGTTCAGCAGAGTCTTTGCCCTCATTTGCCTGGTCCCTAGCTAACGCCTTTTGGTGAGCGGATGCCTGTAACCTGAAAGTAACAAAAATTCAGGAGCACAGAAAGAAACAAGCAAGGGCCCACCGCTAACTTAATATATTAATACTGTGTTAAAAGTGTCAAAGCAATAACTTTGAAAAGGGCCTATTTTTGCCTTTGTAAATTTAGGACAGGTGTATGCAGTTGTTAAGCTGTTAAACAAGACAATGAACAGCAGAGACTTGGGAAACTATTATCAGCTCCACAGAGAGCAGATCTTTAGCTCTGAATAATTTCTAAAAAATGGGTTTCCTATTTAAGGAATTGAAGTATGCTTGGATATAGCTTATCTTATTTAGAAAGAGAAATTGTATTGTTAGCCAGGCTAAAAGGAGTTGGCAGGCATTACCTGTGGCGTATTTAGGCTCTATATATGTATTTCAGAAGGTGGTCTTCTCATTTTAAATAAGAAACAACATAGTCACTGTCAACAACATTGTCTATAACACAGGGGTTTGAATTTCACTTGCTAAACGTGAGTGGCTTAATTTTAAAAATTCTTTCACTCCTCTATCTAGCATTTTCTCTCATAGGTTTCTCTGGGTCTTCTGAAATGTACTTAACTTGGAAATTCCCAGTAACTTGAAAACTGAAGAAAATTTCAGGTGATTACAAATTCCTCCAACTTGCAGCTCGAGGAGAAGCTTTCCGCTTTACATGTCACTCAGAACGGTGACAGAAGTTTTCCAGACAAGATACCACCTGCCTGGGCAAACCCAACTCTCAGATCCAACAAGAAGCGTATTCTGCCTCAACGCCAAGTGGTCCCAGACAAAAGAGCAGTATCTCCGCTCCAGATGGGCAGTGAGGAGGGGAATGAAAGCAACCTGAGACACAAGTCTGTCTTGAGGGGCTGCAAACCGGGAGGCAACCTGAACCTACTTCCCTCAAGAGCTCCCTGCCTGGGTTACACTAGGTTCACTTCTCCGCTGTCATTTTGCTTCTTTTAATCTCATTTTTAGCCTTTGTGTATTAGTCCATAACAGTAAAATAAAGGGGATACTGACGTGCTTTAAGGACGTAATTTTAAAACGTAATAATAAAGCAGCTACTAAGTTCGAACACTATAAATTGGTTTCCCCATCCTAAAACATAACTGCCCTGTCTCTCTATAAATCAGAAACATGTAGGATTATTTTTAGCATATATTCTTTTGTTTATATGAGTTTTAAAAATTCTGGTGTTACTGGAATTTCCACATTCATGCTAACTCCCCATCTGTCTGCTAGTCAGTGTTAAGTGCTAGTATTACAGATGAAGAATGAGATTGTTTAGGGATGACTGTCATTATGAGAAACAGACACAAAACAAATGCATCAGTGAGTTAGTAGAATCCTAGGTCCAGTACGAAATGTGAGCACAGAGACTAAAGTGTTCTCATGCATGTCGACATAAAGTTATCAGTACCTTGCACTATGACAAAAGCAAATGCCACACATGCCCGGAACCACTCATGGCACTGACTTGTTTGTCAAACAAACACATGGCACTGGGGATTGGAAGATGCATCGGCTGTCCAGCACCTTGGCACTCAATGCCACATGCAGCTATTTCTGTCCAGTACCTGGCAGGCTGCACAGTGCTCTGAGCTACAGTGGGGCTAGGAAGTCTTGCCATTAGAGGCTCGGTGGCCACAGAACACGAAGCAGGGATAGGTTCACTTTAAAAGCAATTGTCAAAGAAGGAACATTCATAAGGAGAGAGAAGAAAAGAAGCATTAAGGAAAGCATTTGAAATTCCGAAAAGCTAAATCAAATACTTGAACAAAATTATGAGCTAAGTGCTTTTGAAAACGAATCACAACAGAACTTGAAAAGCCATCACAAACTTAAGACATAAGAGACAGAGACTGTCCAAAGCCAATCGAATAGAATGGGTTTTTCAGCTTGGCAAGGATTTGCTATATCTTTAGTACAAGTGTCCTGGTTTGAAAAAATAGTAAACAAACAAAGACTAATATCAACCGTCAGCAAAGAAGACGACTGTGCCCACGTTTTACGATGTTGTTCTCAATTTTTTTTTTAAATTAGTGTCCTCATATATTGACGGCATCAAAGTGGACTCACTGAGCCTTTTAGGTGATCATTTTCGTTTGTTTACTGTTTTCTTCCCTTGGCCAGTTGCTTCTTATTTTACAACAGTCACACACAATGTTTTTTTTTTTTAAAAAACAATCTGACTTGCTAAGAATTCCCAATGAGGACAAGAAGTTACTTATCCACAAATACACCAAGGTGAGCACCCACCAGAGATGGAACAGTTGCTCTTTCTAACAGCAGGTTCACAGACGTGACCTCTGACACAGAAGCCTCGTAGGTTGTCAGCGTCTTGAATGACATGAACTTCACTTTTTTCAGGAAAGGTGTGTGTGTGTTGTGTGTGCATCGGGGGGGGGGTATGAAAACAATTTTGTCAAAACTAATAACAGTTTTCACTTGATTGAAACAATGATCTCAGAAGGAATTACATACTTTGGAAAGTTATCAAACTTTCAGTTTAATTTTTATTGCTGATTATTTACAAACAAACAAAAAGATTGCTTCTCTATTAGAGATACAAACTGAAATGTTTATGGGTGAAATGATACGATGTCTGGGGTTTGCATGAAATAGTGCAGGAGGAAAAGGGGAAGCCAGTGGGAATAGCAGCAGAACCAGATTGCCCAGAAGTCAATGACTATTGAAACTGGGTAAGAAGAAGATGGGGGGGGGGCATTGTAACAATCTGTCTACTTTGATGTTTTAAATTTTCCATTGTAAAAGAGATAAGCAAAATGCATAGGGAAAAAAAAAAGGAAGCAGAATTAACTCTTCAAATTTTTCTAAGAGATACAACAGGTGGCGGTGGTGGTGGCATTAGCTGCTGTCAAATCATCCTCTGGCTCATGGCAACCCCATGTGTGACAGAGTAGAACTGCTCCACAGAGTTTTCTCGGCTGTAATCTCTATGAATCTTTCATGGAGCTGTTGGGTGGGTTTGAACCGCCGAGCTTTAGTTTAGCAGCAGACTGCAAACTGCTCGGGCCACCCAGGCTCCACAGGAGATCCAACAGGTAACAAATCCAATGACAAAGTTTAGAAAGGCAGCAGCAAGGACAATCACTCAATGCCAGCCTCCTTGTGGCTTCCAAGTAAACTATCTCTGCCATCTTGTTTTTATTTAAAAGCCCTGTGATCTTTGTCTAAAAGAAGAAGTCCAAGCCAAGGCCCCGTCACCCCAACGGAGACTCACGTGGCTGCGATCACCACCTCCTCTGTGGTGACGGGCTGGGTGTGGGATCTGTCCTGCAGGCGGCGAAGCCTTTGCTCCACTGCCAGGTTTCTGGAGCGTCGTTTAGGAACCTTCTTTTCATCAAATGATTTTTCCATTTCCTAAGAGTAGAAACATCATGGAATCCCTATAAATCCGAGGAAGGGCCACTGGGGCGGCAACCTGTCTCACCTCTCTTCTCCTACAGGACCTACGGGGTGGACGTCGCTGAGGCAAGGGTCTTTATCAGAAGTGTACGCTTGAGCTGGGTGTCAAAGCCAGGGAAGGAACGGGAGGAGGACAATAGGTGGGGCAGACAGAGGACGATCTCAGAGCACCCTGAAGTGCCCAGAGGTGCACGAAGCAGGGCAGGGAAGCGGGGTTCCCAGCTCTATGGGTCATAATTCTGACTAAACACTTTGGGGACATCTTACCCTGAAAAGTAGCCTCTTGGCAGCAACACTCAGCTTGGCTCGTTCATCTACCTTTTCTTCATCTGCAAAATGCCACAAAATAAAAACTGAAAATCATTAGAAAACGTAAGTGAAACCTCTGAGAAGTTTCTCAAGGCTGGCCTGGAAGCCCTTGGAATACAAGCATAGCTGTACTAAACATAACAGTTGGCACCATCTCCCCTTTGGGTAGAGCCCATTGTTTCTGCTCAGTGAAAAGGTGCTGACTGCCATCGAATTAAAACCCTGCCCGGGCAGAAATTTTCTACTATAATTTGATTAATTAAGATTGAAGAAGAGATTTTTACAGAAACAATTTCTCAATATATCACATACCCACCGCCGTAGAGTCGATTCCAGCTCATAGCAGCCCTATAGGACAGAGTAGAACTGCCCCACAGGGATTCCAAAGCTGTAATCTTTACGAAAGCAGACTGCCACAACTTTCTCCTGCTGAGCGGCTGGTGGGGTCGAACCACCGACCTTTTGGTTAGCCGCTGAGTGTTTAACCACCGCGCCACCGGGCTCCTTCATACATCATGTACTCTCCTTAATTGTCACATAGCGGCAGTAACGAGAAAAGCCTGACGATGGGGTCCAACTCTCTTGGTTTTAACATTGCTCAGCCACGACTTCTAACTCTCAAAAATAACGCTCATCTGAAAACCTCAGCTTGGTTTTACTGTATTCATAGAAAGAAAGACCTGCAGAAAAGTGAGGAATTTATATGTTCCACAATCGTATCTTCTCAAAAAGCCAAAATCCTATTATTTAACTCTCATCTGGGTGGGATGATAAAGAAGAAAATGAAAATATACTTGCCCTCGGCAGTTGGCATTTCTGAATGTGAAGTAGATCTAGGAAAGACATTAGCAAACAAGAGCAATAGTAAGTTAGCTGGGGTGAGTAGAAGATCCAAATAAAACATCATATGTAAAGTAAAAATTAAAAATCCGATGAACACTCTTAAAGAATATGGTCCCAGTAGCAATTCTAGTTGCGAGTACCCATTCCCAGTGATTACTGACACAGTGGAGCACATGTACACACAATCTCAGCCAAATGTGTAACTCGTGGACAACTTATTAAACAGGACTGATGATAATTTTTTAGACAAATCTTAGCATTTCTATGTAATAGCATATGACAATTTAATATAAAACCTCAAATACAACCCATAGGCAGACATTTATAAAATGAATATAAAATTCCTTAGTCACTTTCACTGTAAAATCTGGTAAATACTCAATTTGGATTCTAATTTAGCAAGGGCATTAGAATATTAAAAATATTAAGAAAAATCATGTTTCTTAAGTCTTAAACCATTACAACCAACCCTTTTTCACACCACCTAAATGCAAAGTAAAACTGCGTACTGTGATACCAGTATAAAAGTCAATACTCCTTAAAAATATATTTAAATCAGCCAAATAAGTATCCTCTATCGATTAGGTAGAAGAACTGTGGAATCACCAAGATCCTATACACACAGCACCAGGACTATCGTTGTGGTAAAAATCCTGTATCATTCATTTCTCTTACATTCCTAGACCTACGGAACGACACATACAGGTGCCTACCTATCCGACTCCTTTCGTTCTGCTGAGGTTATAGGTTGAGTTCTAAATCTCTCAGAAGTCTTTCTACTTTCACCAGGAGAAAAATAGCGTCTTGGTTTCCGGGACACTCTCTCCCGTTCCATACCGGTGGGCGAGCCAACTCCTTCGGTTGACCTCTCAACCCGTGAACGGCTTTAAGGATCATGGGGTGGAGAGTATACAAAAGGAAAACAGGAAGAGAGAGAGAATAAAGCAAAGGTTTATGCATCTCAGCGTGCGAAGGCACAGGTAGTGCTACATCCGTCTGCATGCCTCTACCATGCAGGAAAGGAGGTGGGGCATCCCCGCGACCCAGTACTCTGTTACCCCATTAGTAGGCAGAAGCAAAATGGTAGTTTTGGAGCCATTTCCTCATATTGTCTGCCCTGCACACACTTGTGAGCTAAGCTAACAGGGATTAATGCAGGACACGACACACGTTGAGAAGTGAATAATTCTGCCAAGGACGTGCAAGTGACACATCGGGTGTACGTTTGAAACATCACCTACAGCTCAGGTTTCTTGCTGGCACTGATGGACTCCAGAAACGCACTTCGGAGCTGGGCGACGGAGACCTTGGTGTCCACCATCCCAACCTCCGCATAGGGCCCTTCTGCTCTGGAACTCTGCGGCTCCAGCTCTCGCTTGGAAACGAGGTCCTTGCAATTCGAGGCCTGGAGCTGAGTGGGGCCAGTGTAGTCAGAGAGTGAGCGGGTGAGGACCTTGTGCTTCTTTGTAGAGACTTCCTTTTTGGGACCTGCCAGGTTGACGTCTTGGGACACAGGCTCACGCTGAACATACAAAACCATTTCACTCCTGCCCCTTCTCTCAGTGGGCTGGTGCTGAGCTTCAGGTGGGTATGACGGAAGTTCTTCCTCCTTCTGATGCTCTCCGGTGACGGCACTAACAACAGGTTTACCAAAGTGCTCATTTCCAGAGACGTCTTCTTCTTGGCTTCTCACAAGCCCACGATCCTCCAAAGTCAAAAATGTTTTCCTGCTTTTCTTGGGAGCTTCGGGTAAGACCACATCTTCTTCTGTTTTTGATTCATAAATATGGAGAACTGGGGTATCCCTTCCCTCACCTTCTAAAACCTTTGAGGTGGAAGGTTTCATTAGCTGCTGGGTGGCTGATTCCACCCAGCTGCACTCGGAGACGTTATCTAGGTTTTCTGTGGTCGCCAGCTTGGCAGTGTGAACAGGATCTGCTGGTTGAACATAGCCACGGATCGGCTGCCGGGCCGAGCTGGATGCCTTGCTCAGGACCCTGTCAAAAGCCGAGTTTTCGGACTGAAAGGACAGGTAAGGCGCGGGCCCTGGCTGATGTCTCCTCTGAGTTAGTGACTCTGAGGCAGGTTCAGGGCTGCTTCGAGCACTCTCCTCTTTCACCAATTTTTCTCTAACTTTTACTCTTTAAGAAAGAAAAAGGGTTTAAGTTGTAAAGTGCAGTAACTGCTCAATGGGAAGAAAGCATGCGTGATCACAGATAACCAAGGAATGGAAAGCAACCCAAAGACAGAACAACTTTTCAAAAAATACTTTTGGTGTTTAATAACAGAGACTCACTGCTTGAACCAGATGAGTGATTCTGAGTTGAGTTTTCAACTCTGCCTAAGTGTGCCAGGGTGGTGCAGATGTTATCCTGAGCGAGGATGGGTCCCTTCTCACTAAATAAACACCCAGAAGCCAGGGGAAAATGCTTTAATAGGCACCACCAGTGCGCATCAGGGCAGACTGGGCTTTCAGCTATGGACAGGCCCAGTATGGACAGAGGGGAGTTTCCAGGCATACATACACCTGTTAACCAAAACGCTGTAATGTCAGTGTCTCCTGGAAATGTAAGAGCATTCGCGATTACTTATACTTTTTAGTGAACTTAAGATACAATAAACAATCATCTCTCTTTTGAAGCACTCAACTAAACATTCACAAGCTTTTTCATGCTCTGCATACGACATTCATTCATTCACAAGGCATTTGACCAGTTTAGATATCATTACTACTAACAATTGTGGCGCCAGGAAGAATGTTAGAGAAAAGACAGGTGTTGAAAGAACGAATGAACTGAACATTTCTCCCTCTGCGGAACTGGTGTTATGCTTAGTTAAAAACTGATCTAGAACGAAATTGCTCTGGTTGTTTCTAAAGCTATCTCAGAATCTGAGAGGAAAACAAAAACCCATTTCAAAGCGACAGACCTTTTTCCATTACCACAGAAGCAGAGTAGCCAAGAGACCTGGCTGCCTTCAAACTCTGGCTCATTCAGTTCTGGCTACGTGGCCCTGGGCAACTCAGCTGCCCTTCTTAACTCTCAGCTGCTTTACCTTTCCATGGAAATATGGTGACATATGTAACTAACATGATGTTTGCAAAGCCCTTGGCTAAGTGCTTGCCAAACAGTAAACACTTCAGAGTGTTAGCTAGCTCTTATTTTTACTTTTTGAAATGTCATGGAGTGAGAAAGGAGAAACCATTCAAACTGAGAATGGATTACTGATTGGGGAAAATCTTTTTGAAAGTCAAGAATGCTTTGGGAGTAGGAAAGGCGATTTCTTGGGGAATGTAAAACCATTAAGATTAGTCAGCAAAAATAATTACTGCTGAAATATGCTTCATGGAAGAGAATATTTTCTTTCATGACAAGTGCACCCTGATAAATGTGATAAAAACTCCTACTATATGTTTTTCAACATAAGATGTAAAATAGCTATGTTTACGTCATTAAAGGAAAGTCAAACTCACATATTAAAAAAACAATTATGAACAATTCAGAGGAAAAAAGCATTCTGGGTTGTTATTTTTCCTAGAGACTAGCTAGCGTTGGAGGTTTTCATACTCAGAACCTTTGTTAATAAAAAGAAGACTGAAATGCGGTTCAAGTTCTCCTGTGGAATGCGTGCTTCTAATCAAAGACGATCTGAATTTTGTCCTCAGCTGAGAACAAAGTGACTGTTAGAAACTCAATATATGGCTGCTTTGTCCTTCCAATGACTTATTCATTCTTACTCCTTCTGCCTCTCCCTGCCCCCAACCTTAAAAATGAAATGATAGGGTTTTTTGTCTGCTTTCAATACTACACATCCTAAATTTCACTGTTGAAAAAGAGCTTCTGTCCTAGAGATGAGGAGAAATGAAAACAAGGTTGGGAGTGCTGGCAGGAGGGAGCTACAGACAAGATGGGACCCCAGCCAGTTAGTCTGATTCAAGAGAAAACAGGAAGTACTGGTTAGTTTCTCCCTACTGCCCCCAACTGGCCAGTTCTATATGCCACCACCACCCTCCGTTGCCATAGAGTAGACCCCAACTCATAGCGACTCTATAGGACAGAGTGGAACTGTCCCATAGGGTTTCCAAGAGTGCCTGGTGGATCTGAACTGCCAACCTTTTGGTTAGCAGCCAAACTCTTAACCACTGTGCCACCAGGGTTTCCAGTTCTACGTGAGTGGGTGAGAAAAGGGAAAAGTAAGAGAGGTAGTAAAAAGATAATCAGAAAGGGGAAAAGGAGGAGGAAGGGGAAATACTACTGGTGGAGATTAGGGCAATGGAGGAGAAAAGCCAATGATTAGAAAGGAACTTCTAGCAACCCCCTTTGGAACACATGATTTTCGAATGCACTGCCATTACAGAGCGGAAGAGAGGAGTTAGTGCTAGCTAGTACAGAACAGCAAGGCAAATCAAAAGGGTTAAGTAGAAAGCGTTCACTCCACGGAAGCCACAGACTTTTAACTTGAGATATACCTGGAAGGCCAGTTGATAAGTGAAGGTGTGTCCCCTTCGGAATCTTTCTGGAGAAACCACTCATGTTTGAGTTTCCCTGTACTACCATGCACAAAAAACAAAATTCAGGTAATTTCCTTTTAAAATGTCAACACATACACAGACTTCATTATAAGCTAAGTACCTAACAGCTGACTTTTGTTAAGTAAAGAATACTCCTGGCTTTTGAAAACGTATAAGCATATATTGCCATGGCTTTCTATTCACTTGAGGGAATTCCTAAGGCCTTTTGGCTCTGTTCACTACTAAAATTAAGAGACAGAAATAAATACATATAAAATCACCATATAAAATGTTTTACAAGTAATTTGAAGCACTAGAAAGGAGTGTGTTAGTCACGCTCTGCCCACAAATATCAGACAATTCTCTTGCTAAGAAATTGGACTAAAAATATAAGGCAACTTAACTTCCATAGGTTTTGTTGAAGCACGTAGGTAAACAGCCAAATATTAAAATAATGCCCATGAAAAGCGATATATATTAAATAAAGAACATAAATAAAAAGAAATTCTGTAAGATCGTATCTTTAATTTGATGTTGTTAGTTGTCGTCAAGTCAATGCCAACTCATGGCGACTTCGGGTGTGCAGAGCAGAACTGCTCACAGAGTTTTCAAGGCTGTGACCTTTCAGAAGCAGATCACCAGGCCTGTCTTCCAAGGCATCTCTTGGTGAGTTCGAACCACCAGCTCTTCAGCTAGTAGTTGAGTGCTTAACCATTTGCGCCACCCAACTGCCACTATACATTTCCCCTGAATATCTATTACTGAATAGTACAACCAATACAATAGTTACCAATATCAACTGAGGTCCATTTGGTAAATGTTTACTGAGTTTCTACCATGTGTAAAATACTGAGCTAGGCTCTGAGAAGTCACAACGGTGAATCAGGCATTATACTGGCCATGAAAAAGCTTACATTCTAGTAGGCAAGAGACTATATGATTTACACATTCACTGCTCAACACACAGATGAGTATAATGCAAGGCAGACTATGACAAAGTAGTGATGCCAGGCTGAAGGTATTTTAGAGAAGAGCATAGGCAAGGAACACCTTGCGGTAACTGTGTCAGACAAGTCATGGGAGATGTACGCCAGCTGACTTGTATCCTCTTACATTGAACAAAGGGGAAAAAATGGAAATTCTACATGCTAGTTAAAATATCTGCCAGCTCAAAAACTTCATGAACCTATCTGCAAGAGTTCTTCAGTACCAGGCTAGAAATACATTTTAGCTCAAAGCAATTTCCAAAAGAACAGAATAATAATTTATGACAAAATTAACTTAATTTTCTAAAATTATTTTTGTTCATGTTTTGGTTCAAGCCAGTGGACAAGAGCTTTTAAGGCCACCGCTCTATATCCTGCTGTAAGCACTGAGATCTGTCACATTCTAGGGTTGGAATTATCTGTTCCCCGAGTCTTTCTACACCACGACCTACCACCCCACCTCACTATCCCCAGCGTTAATAGCAATTTAGCCCATACCAACAAAAAATTAATATGTATGTAAAGCCACTTTATTGTCAACTATAAAGTGTCCAATTTCTCAACAATGATGTAAACATCTAAATCATTTACCATATCGTCTGCAGCTCCGAGAACAGGCCATACAACCTAACAAGTACACAGGGAGCATAAGGCAGCAGAGGACACTTGCTTTCGTAAACTGTCAACTTAATATAACTAACATGTCTACTTCACAGTTATTCTAAAGCCCAAATGCTATTTGTACACTAGAGTGCTTTGTAAACTATAAAGGACTACACAACTTTTTGAACATAGCCTTCATTGCCAAGAATAAAACTTAGTCAGCTTTACCATCAAAAAATTATTAGGGGCTGGCTTAAGAATATGTTGAGTCAGCTTTTGTAAAGGGAAAATCCTGCACAGACTAGGGGGCTTGATGCATATTCTGTATTCATTACAACTCTGCTACTTCTCTTAGATATGCGCTAGTCAACAAAGGCGTACCACCAAGGTAGTGAAGGCTCAGATTCTGTCATTTCATATATAATAAATCAAGATGGATGTGCAAAGAAAAACATACGTATGTGAAGGCACCATGCCTGGACCATGGTAAGCCCTTCAAAATGGCAGTCCCCTTCTTTCCTTTCTTCTTCGTAGACAACATGGTCATGCAAATTTATGAGTTACGGTTTTTGTATTTGAAAGAGATGATACATCTAGAGCCCTAATTCAGAAGTTACAGGATTTTGAGAGTGGGTCCACCCACACCAGGAGGGTTGAGTTTGTCTTAACTAAATTTAAAGCAGAAGTGATTGAAAATAGTGTTTCTCAAAGTAAAACATTCAGGATCCTTGAGTTTGGCTGGCCAAGGCATATATCTGGGTGAGATTTTCAGCCATCAAAGAGAGAAAAGGAATGGATAGTGGTGATAGCTGCACAACACGATGAATGTAATTAATGTCGTTGAATTGCATATGTAAAAATGCTGAAATGGCAAATGTTTTGATAGATAAAACCAACACAAATATGTAAATACATTTGGGTATATATATATATATACACACACAAATACACACACACACACATATATCTACAATATAAAAAGAGAGAGAGAAAGAAAAGAAAGGGGATTTAATTTAACACTTACTGACTTACTGTCCACAAGTCTGTCCTAGGCACTTCATATCCACTTTATTGGAGAGAATGTGGTCAATTCTTGGTCCTTAGTCTACTAACTTACCATCAGCATCTCATACAGGGGCTCACGCCCTTCATGGACCTTCTCACGCACAGCTCCTTTTCAGCCTTTTTTGCTGATTGTCCTCACCATCTCTACCTCTCAATCTCAGAGCATCCCAAGGCTCTGTCTCCTAACCTCCTCTCTTTTCCATCAACAATCACAGCCTCCGTGATCTCACTGAGTTTTCAGCTCTATGCTGATGGTTTCCCAATGTCTACCTCTCGCCAGATCTCTCCTTGAGCCCTAAAGTCCTGCATTCAACTTGACATTTCCATTTGGATAACTGACATCTTAAAGTCAACATGCCCAAAACAGAACTCTTGATTTCCTTCCAAACCCAGCTTGTACTGAAGTCGTCCCTCTTTCAGTAAATGGCAACTCTACGCTTTGGGTTGCCCTAGCCAAACAACTGAGACTCACCTTTGTCTCGTTTCTCTCATACCCCACCATCCAAGTCACCAGAAAATTCTATTGGTTACCTTCAAAATATAGAAAGAATCTTACCACTTTTCACTTCCTCTGCTGCTATCATTGCAGTCCAAGTCACCATCATCTCCCACTTAGATTTCTGAGATGACCTCCTAAGTATTCTACCTGTTCTCATCCTTACCCACCTACAGCTCATTGTCAGCTTAGCAGCCAGAGGAATTATTCTAAAACGTAAGGCAGATTATGTCTCTTTTTGAAACCCTTATATGGCTCCCTGTGTCATCCAGAGTATAATCTAAAGCCTGCATGATGGGCTACAAGGCCCTCCCTGATGTGCCCACCTCTCATCCATACATCTCGCTGACCTCATCCCTACTACCATCGCCCTCTCCCTCTATGTACCTGCCACACTGGTGACTGGAAGCCTCATCAAACACTCCAGGCGTGGCATCCACTCAGGCCCTTTGCCGTTGCTATTTCTGTCTGAGCCACTCTATCCCATAGTTGTATGGTTTGCTGGCTCAATTTATGTAGTTCTCTGCTCAAATATTATCTCATCAGAAAGATAGTCTCTTATGGATTGGACTGTGTCCCCCCAAAATACGGTTGGGATCCTAACCCTTTACCTGTGGATATAATCCTACTTAGAAAGACGGTTTTCTTTGTTATGTTAATCATGCCATATTCGTGTAGGGTGTGTCCTAAACCTAATCACTTCTGAGTTATAAAAAGAGCAGGTTAGACACAGACACAAATACAAACCGGTGAAGACAGATGCCACGTGAAGATTTCCGAGAACAAAGGAACGCCCAGGACTACCTATGAGGAAGGAATCCACGTGACCGAGACCCTGATTTGGACTTTCATCATCCAGAACTGTGAGGACATAAATTTCTGGTCTTTATAGCCACTCACTGGTGGTGCTACTGTTACAGCAGTGCCAGGAGACTAAGCCACCTTCCTAACCATCTGACATAAACTAGCAATCCCTTCCTTTTCTCTCTTTTCCCTCATTGAATTGCTTGAATTTTCTTGTTAGCAATTACCACACCTATCATGTTACATATTTAGTTTTTGGTGTCTCTTTCTCTTCACAAAATTATATAATAAGCTTCATGAGAGAAAAGACTTTGTTCGCTGTTGTCTCATCAGTACTCAGAACAGCATGTGGCAAAATGTAGGTCTCAGTAAATATTTGTGGAATGGATGACTTGTTGAGTGATAATCTCCACAACAACTCTAGGAGGTATTCTTATCCCCATTTTACAGATGATGAAAGTGAGGCACAAAAAAAGTATATTTTAACTGCCCAAGATTATACAGCTGGTTAATGCAAGAACCAGGCTTGAGCTGAGTGCTATGCGACTCCCACAGCTACATCGTCTGTTCCTCCAGAATCACAGGCTTCTACGTCCTGGAAAATGATTGCCTCCCCAGCTTGAATGGGTAATAACATGGCTAGGAAGCTACCGTTCATGTGTGCTGGGGTGAATCAAGGAAGACACGAAAGGCTTCCTGATCATGCCCACACCGCTGACCAGATGCTGGGCTCTCTCTGGTGCCTGTCCCACCTCCAGCACAGAGTCACCCAATTACCTGTAGATCCTGTAAAACCCAATTACCGTCTTCCTCTACTGCCCAAATGTATAACATAAAATCGAAGGAGTCAGGCAGCAGACGGCAATCTGGGTAACAGGGCACTGTTAGGGGAGCAGAAGTGTGCTGGGGCCCAGAGTTGGCAAGCTGGGTGAAATCCTGTCTCTCCTCCACCAAAGCAACCTATACTGGAAAGCAAGTCTAAGAATCAACGGTTTGGAAACGAGAAAATTCATGGGAGAAATGAACTGAGAGCAGGTTCTGCTGGATTGCTGCAGAAGGAATTACAAATACTCTGAGGACCAAGG